CTTCCCCAGCTATCCCTCCCCCTGGGGCTGAGGCCCAGCCGCTAGGAAACGCAGGCTTGCTCTTGGCTGTCTCGGAACTTCTTTGTTGCAAGCGGATGAATCTCAACCTGTTGCACCCCCCACAACAAGAAGACACCTGGATAACCAGCTAAACTCAGACCATGGAATGCCCTACCAGATATGGAATGCCTTTTTAATATCTTTTCTGTGACTGTGACACTTCATGTGAATGACATACTTCACAAGTACACTCGATACCTTGCCTGCTGACAGCTACCCATAATCCTTTTTGAGTCCTGTTCCAGCGAAATCCATGTGTTTAAGTTCAATTTTGTAGCACACAGATAATATTGAGTAATTTCTAGTTAGACGCTGTAAACCTGTGCTATTATGGATTTCTCTTCTTCCCGTTTTTACAGGGCTGCTCGCTCCACTGTCTGTGACCTTTTGCAGGGGTTGTGTTCCTCGAACTCTTAAATGTTGCAGTTGGCTTAGTTTGGAGAGCAACCAGGGAATCAGGAAGCCTTCTAAACCTATTATTACAAATCGCATCTATAAAGATTAAGGTTGTTGTCTCTGGCTCACACTATTGATTAAACACACATATACGCTCTATCCAGTAGGAGATACTGCGCCCCCGAGGTTGGCATTGCCTGGGTGGGAAATGGGTCAAACACAGTCCAAAGGAAGCGCTCTACGATGCGTGTTTGACATCCCCCTCTAGTTTCTTTGTGTGTGTGTGTGTTTTATACATATCACAAGCTTACTGGTAATGGTAACATTTGCCTTGCCCAGCGAGCAAGACCCACTGATTTTTGAGAAAGTGGGTCCAACGAATTCTGTAGGCCTTGTAGGCCTGATTAAGGTTCATTTTTCATCAATTAATCTTCATTATTTGGAAAAGAGAAATAAAAAAGGAAAATCAATAATTACAACCTACAAGAATTGCGCTACCTAAGTCCATTTCAGATATACTCCTCCCGTTTTTAATGACCCGGACTTCTTGCCACCTCCCTTTCTGGCTGCGTCCCATTCATACTCAGCAGAGCATGGGCAAGGCGGCTGTTGTGTTCTTTTCTGCAGCAGCAATGCAAACGTTAGTTATAAATTAGACTTTAATATTTTTGGTGTTTAATGAAATTAAACTGTTTTTAAACTGGGCATATTAGGAAAAAACTATTTTTTTTAGCTCAGCATGCTGAGTCCAGTACTGTGTGTTCCACCAGTACATACCTCCAACTCAGCTTTTTGGGGCCAGTGTGGCCCAATGGCTGGGTGAGAGGTGCCTTGCCCTGATCGCAGAATACAGTCTGTTGAATTATCCTAGATAAAATAAAGGCAAAACAACACATTCAAGCATCAGGATTTTGGCCCATTCCACTTAGTGGCTTTTGTTTTGTTTTGCTCTCTTAATTTCCTTTTTAAATTTCCTACTGCTAATCTCTGAGTTTACGGAAGACAATTATTTAGAAAGGCCATGAATGGTTGACTACACAGTGAAGATTCCATGCAAAATGTTCAATATCGGGTATAAGGAGTTTCAACATGTTTAATACTAAACTGTTTGGAAATACCATCTATTGACGCTGTGTACACGTAATAAAATTTCATGTTTTCTTCTCAGAAAAGTTGAGACCAAACTGAACCTCGTTTATAGAAAACTCTGTGTGGGATTGATGTACTGACCTCTTGCTATTATTTCCATGTGGAAGGGTGGTCTAGTTGCCATTTTGCCCCATCTGCACTGTATTTACTGGGAAATTATTTTGTCACTGCTTTCATAAATCCCCTTGCCCAGCATTTAAAAATTTTGGCCTGCTTAGCTGATTAAAAGTTTAGTATAAATTTAACTGTTCATGCTTATTTCATTTTCATATTGGATTCCATTTTAATAAACAAAGAGTTAGCATAATGTTTGAGTAGATTTATTGTCAATAATGCTAAATTACAGGTACGACCAAGTGATTCCTTTGACCATTTTTATTTGGTGTTCTACCATTTAAAAACCTCTTGTTTTTAACAGGATACATTAAAATATGTTAGTGGATTTCATTAACCAATTATTTAGGGAAGACATATCCCATCATATGTAACAAATTATGAATAATTTAACTTATAAATCCAATTAGATGGGCTTATGGACATGCTTACATGTCTAAATACACACACATACACACACACACAGATCAATCCCATCTACTTATTTTTAATAATCAGTCCTCTTTCCAATTTCTTTTCCCCCAAAGCCTGTTTATTGGTTCAAATTAAGATAAGATTTATTTTTGTAAATGACTGAGATTTATGTAAATGTGCACTTCCGTTTTGTTTTTTTATATGAGTTGTCTACAAGGGCATTTATCCCTATAAATGGATGTCAAAATACTTTCTTTTAATATATGTGTAGATATATTGCAGAGGGGTCCTTGTTCTTTGTAATTTCATTAGATCATTTACTTTGTGTCTAGTCTCACCTGTTGCATGGGAAGAGGGCAGCACCGATGGTCTGCATGTAGTAAGACCTGTGTATCGAGAACTGTTGGGACACGTTCCGCAATTTACATACAGAGTGTGTCTGCACTGTACAGTTTCTGTGTTTAATACCTTTTGTTGTATTCACAAACACAACATATTGAATAAAATATTTATATGAAGGCATATTAAAAAAATTAAACAACTTTATGTTAGCAAATGGTATCGCGTTATCCACAAATACAGAAACATGTCATGTAAATAAGTTGGTAAACTCAATTTCCCCCCTTACCATGCCAAAGAAAATTTTAGCTTTTTGATGATACCTCTCTTGCTATTCTTCTGGGATAAGACTTCACAATTTTTTTCCCTCCTAAATTAAGTTTGCTGTTACTGAGTAAGTGATATCTGTCACTACTGATGTTCTGTACAGTAAATTGGATGGAGTTCCTTTGTATTTATAGACCATGTGTTTTGTACCTCCTTGTACATATGTCCACTGTATCAGGTCTCTATAATAGCCCATTCCTTCTGCATGTGTATCTGGTGTTGGAGGGTCACTTCTACTGATCTGTTAGAGTAGCTGGTTGCTTTGCCCATCCCTCAACAATGCTCAGAAAGGTTCATTGTTTTGATATTTCAAGTACATACATCCTTTTGGTTTTCTAATAAGTTTACTTTCTGAAACATTTTCCTACCCTTTCTTTGGAAACAGAAGACATGCAAATGGTCTACTCTTTGGAGAATAAAATGGAACTGAACATCATTTCATTTCTAAACCTTCAAGAATATAGATATTCTAGCTTGGAATGTTTGCTTGTCCTCAGTGTTTTGGGATAGGAGTCATTGAAAAAGATCTAGGATGGGCCTGAAGGACTCTTGCTCTAGCCTTTCTAATAATATGCTTTTTGGAGAGTAAGCACAGTGTCTTTGTCACAGTTGGCCACTTTTGTAATATGCTTGAAACACACGATTTTTGTTGTTTTTTGTTTTGTTTTGTTTTTCAGTATGACCAATATCATATTTGGTTTTCTTATAAAAATCCAAAAAAAACAAATCTCCAAATGTTGTTCTTTAAATTAGAGATGCATCACTTCATTTGAAGATTTTTTCCTAACACTACAGGGATAGTTAATATTTGTAAGCAACCAAGAAGGAGAGACCATATTGACTAAGATGCAGTTTAGAAGAAAAATAATTTTAAAGTATTTTCAATTTTATTTCAGAACAAAGCTATAATGCAGGATAAACATCTTAGCTAACTGCTCGATTGTTTTCCAAAATGCAATCCTATCAAAATGTGGGATGAAAATTGTGATACTTTGGAGTAAAACACATTTAATAGTTTACGTGTCACCTGGTAAAGGTGAAACATGGGGCCTGTTGACTCTTGAATACTGAGTATGGTCTCAATGTTTGGTAGGTGATTCTGCAAAAAAAACCCAAAAAACCCCCCCCAAAAACCAGAAAACAAACAAACAGAAAAACAAAAACAAACAAAAAAAACAACCCAAAACACAAGGATTTCATTTGGTCTGATTCTGATGTCTATTGTCAGGGATTATATCTGCACTCCAGGTGCAGTAGTAGCCATTGCTTCCATTGCGCTGCTGGACTCTAGATAAGCTCAAGGAGCCTAAAAGGCAATGAGTATAATGATTTTTCTCTTAAGCTTTAGGACTTTGGTTGACTTTTTTTGGAAAAGTTTCCATGAAGGATGCTTCAGTGATGGTTTTCCAAACAAGCAGGGTTAGTGGCAACATCTGTAAGCTTGTCATATTGTTTCCAATTGACATTGGTCACACGTAACTTCCTAAACATAGGAACAAGACAATGCAATTTGCTTATTTTCTCCTGCCCCATTACATGTTCATTCTTGTCCTTCCTTTTCTTTTTTCTTATTTTTTTGTTTAAGAGAGAGAATTTCTATCTCATGCAGTCAAAAGTCAAAGATGAAATTCCATTCAGGAAGGGTAAAATTTATGTCTTTCCGTGTAACTATGTTTATTCTTTTCCATTCTTAAATGCATTAATTCAATGCTTAATTGATATATTGGTGTTTGCATTGCTAGTATTAAAATCATACACCACACAAACACATACACATGAAACATAGGAGACGGGCATAAAAATAAAATACTTCTGTTTTCAAAAAAAAATTACTCCTTAGGGTTTAGGTACGTGACAGATGCTATCATTTAGTTTTGGTTCTAAAATGTGCACCTAAATGACCCAGAACATAGCTGACTATCACAAAATTTCATCTTCATCCAAAAATTTAGACAAATCACAATTTCATCCTTTTGCTATAATAGTTTCTCTAATAACTAAACTCTCTTAGTAAACATACATGCTGAGGGCATTTTTTGACACTTTTCTTATGTAAGACATAAAAAGAGCAGCACTTTTTTTTATAGTTCTTGCAAAGGAAGAGGGCTACCAACACAGAGAAAATTATGAGAAAAATAAGACACACCCGAGGTTATGAGATGACCCATAGGGAAATAAGGGCAGAGCCAGTGAAGCTGGAATTGGCAAACTACTGCTAAACTGGAGACCCAATCAAGTCCTGGATTTGCTTTAGTATAGCCTGGGAGCTCAAAATGAATTTTTATTTTTGTATAGATTGAAAGTATTAAACGCAAAAACGAATATGTGACATACATCTAGAATATTTACTGCCTGGTCCTTTATAGAAAGCTGAGTCCTGTAATAGGAGAATCTGAAGGTCATTTGGATTTGATAGAAAATATAATGAATTCTGATGCTTGTGCAGCATCCATAGGTCATCAACATTGCTACAGAACAATCACAACAGGTTTGGTGGAGGCTTAAGATGTTCGTATTGAGAAGAGGAAAGAATATACTCTATGTTATTTCTTGACTAATATTTCCCTCATTTTACAGAGCTGATATCTCAATTGACATATTCAATAATAGAGCTACAACTGATATGGTTGCACTCCTTAATCTCAGGATAGATAGAGAAAAGTTTTATAAATCTGACAAACCATAAGAACATTATGAGTACTATAAAATCAGCATCAGTGATATTTTCTCGTACAATAATTTTCAATATTAAATTTTTAAGTAACTCAGTGAATGCAGTTTACTTATTTATGGTAATCCGACTTATGAAGTCCAAGCCATGATTCTAGAATATTTACATCATTAAAAGAAAATTTCAAGTACAATTTTTCATCTAAAAACAATATGAAAGTGGTTTTGCTACATTATTCTAGGATTTTACAGAATAATTCACATTTAGAAAAAAGTAGCTTTTTTTTTAGTTTTAACTAATTAAAGGTTGCCTAAATTAATGTGTGTAAGTAGATTTAACTGTAAATATGTAAGGGAAGTCCCAAATATTGTACATTTTCATAATTCAATGTGAATTTCATACAGAATGAAATTTCACCATTAAGAAAATAAACATTTTGTTCCTATCACTGAGTGAATATTTGTAATTTCTGTAAAAGCCATTTCTAGATTTTTTTTTTTTGGTCCTTTTCTGACCTTTGTAAGATTGGTGTCATTTTATCACAGTATCTCTCCTGGGCTCTGCATGGCCCTGATTTTCTAGTGAGTAACGTGTCCTTAGACAGAAGAGAATCTTCCAAGAGAAATAAATGCATATTTCATGCCCACCATGTATCTAACTAGATTTCGCCCTTATAAAAGGCCACATTACCACAGAGGAATTTACATAGAAAGAAAAGATGTGCTATTATAAACTACAGATTTCTTGTACACATAATCCCCACCCAGTTTTAAAACACATGACCTGTCAGTTCTAGGAACATAAAATCAACATCCCTGGATAACGATTCAATTTTTCCTTTGTTAATTATCAAGAGGTAAATATATACTGACACAAAGCATAAACTACATGTCTATTTATTAAAAGTGTGAAGGTGTACATTTTTCATAATTTCTTCCTTTATCTTAAGAGAATCTTCTCATGTGAGTTTAAAGTGAGATTAGAAATGGAAAATGAACCATCTTTTTCCTTCTAAAGCACTCATGATCAGCGATGTTCCCCCTCTACCACTTGACATTCCACCTCATGTGTGTCTGTCTTCATTGTCCCCATGTGAAAATGCTGAGTGATATGGAACCTGATAGCCTTCTGAAGAATAGCTGTCCCTTAGATTCTAATATGGTGCTCCTCAGATAAGGACATGGATTTCTAATACCCAGGTAACTCAGCATCTCTCAAGTCTGGTGCCATAGATGTCCGGTATCAGCGAATTCTTTATTGTGGGGCTGTCCTGTGCACTGATACTTAGCAGCATCCCTGGGCTCTACCCGCTAGACATCCCATAGCATGCCCTCCCACCCCACCTAGTGTGACAATCAAAACTGTCTTTGGATGTCGCCCAATGTCTTCTGGGTGGCAACTTGTCTTCATTGAGGGCACCAATGTTAATCATGGAGGAAAAATCCTTTCTAATGTTACATCAGAGTTTACGTATTTCTAGTGGGGAACCAGATTTCCTTCGGGCATTCAGAAATACAAAAACATGCAATAGTCTGTTTAACCTGTGCTAGTGGTGAGTATACATGGTCTCCTTTGTATTTATATGTTCTAAAGGCCTAGAAAAATAAGAATCGAGTCGTTTCCCATGTAACTGTCAAGGATAGTCTGTGCCAAGCCAGATTTCACATGCGTTTCCATTCCATCCATCCCAGCATTCACAGTTTCCACAGCTACATATTCCATTCCCTGCAATAAAACACACACGGGCGCCGTTATCATGACCAAAATGCACTACGTGAAGATGCGCTATTATAAACTACACTGTCCACAGCCAGCACTTCACACATCCTCCGGAAATTTTCTCATGATGCAGCAACCTTATTACTACCTCTTAATAAGTAGTGGCGAGAAATCTGATCTTTGAAACAGCTACTGGTGTCTACTTGGTCTTTTATAGATCAAATGTAACCATCTTCTATCACTCCAGCTGGGCTTCCCTGTCACAGCTTTGTTTTCCCTTGGAAAGCAAGTTCTGTCTGTGCTAGCAATGAACACTGAAAAGCTTAAAGCTTGACATGAAACAGGCCAAGAGTCAACTAGAGCGAAGTCTTATGTAGTAGAGAAGGACAGAAAGATATGTCCAAATTAATGTCACATATTAATATTTTTCTTTTACCTTCAACTGAAAATGAGGAGAGTGAGTATATGTGTCTCTGATTCCCCTTGCCACTTGTTTAAGTCAATGCATTTCATAACCAGTTATTAGAACTCCATGAATTAGTGTAGCAGTGGCTATTTCACTGCTAAGCTGTCTTTTTATTTTGCTTCCAGCATCCCCCAACATATATTCACACATAGCCAGTTTCCTGGAAACAACCAACAAGACAACTGTCTGGAAATAATGGTTCCTGGATCCTGTGTAGAACAACATTCCTTCTCCTATATCAGGCTCAAAGGAAAATGGATTTTAAGAAAATTATTTTTCTTTTTTCTTCATATAATTGCATATGTGTTTGGGAGCAGGTTACTTTGTGGAAGTCTCCCACATCATATAATTTGGCTTCATTATTTTGTACTCTTCTATACCTGGGAATAATGTTGGTGCTTATTCACAAAAGCTCACCTTCCTCTTCACAGTTACTTTGTATTAACTGTCTTCCTAGATGATATGGAAGCTGCCCTGTCTGGTCATCTAAAATGTTGTGTGGTGGCTGACACTTAATTCTATTACAAACTGTGGCATAGAACAATTAGAAGAGGACAATACTGCACCTGTACAAATGAGACCATCATGTTTGTCGCAGTCTCTGTCATCACAGTCACAGAATTCCCCTGAAATGTACCATTCTTCAGCAGAACAAATGCACTTTCCGCAGTGACAAGAACCTGGAATCACAAGGGGTATTACTCACCTTCACTGTATATAACTAAAGATTTCCACCTAGAGTAGAATATCCTTGACGCATTGACAATGGCTTCTAATAACCTATCTTCCAAAGGTAAAAGTTTATTGAATAGCTGGTCTCTCAGAGGGGAGCTTTACTTACTGTAATTCCTAAAGGTCACCCAGGAAAACCTTCATTATGGATCTAGACAGTTGCAATTAGCCTTGAGCAAACATTCCATGGCCCAGTCTGGTTGAAATGCCAATGAGAACAGGATGGGCCTGATTCTCATACATGGACCTCCACAAAGGTGTTCAAAAAGAGATTTATTTTTCCCTGAATTTAATCATGTTTTTAAAGTGTCTACTCTTTAAAGGAACCCAACAGTAAATTCTATTAAATGAAGGTTCATCTTAAAATTAAAATAACTTCTAACCTATTGTGCTCATAATTTGGGATTTTTGTTTACATTATTTTCTTGAAACAAGAACATACTTGCATATTGGCTGGCTAAATTAAAGTGCTAAAAATGCACACAGCATCTTTCACGTGTGTCTGACTTATCAGACCTCATTGTCAGGATTCTCTGCCACAATCAAAGACAGTGCTCATCCTCCAGAATGTTCATCCTTTACAAAGCTCTGTGTTTAGCCACCTTTACACTCCACCCATTCCTAACCCTCTTCTTTTTACCTGCTACCTAATTAAACAACTTCCTCTTTGGATATTACAAATATTTTAGATTACTAAGAAAGAATTTTGTAATGGCTTATTTTAAATCACAGAAAATATATGAGTTAAGTGGTGTCTCATAAAATAAAAATTTATTTCAGTACAAACCTATCTACATGATAAAATAACATCTTTCACACAGTAAAATTGCTTCTCCTAGAGCAGAAAAGATGACTTTAAAATGAAAAAAGAAACACACATATAAAAGTCTTCCCCTTCTATTTCCTTGGGTTAGTTCTTTGCAAATGTGATATCCTTTTACCAAAAGATGTTCATCACTAAATGTTTTCAAGTCAAAAATCCCATTAAAGATTTGGATATATTTATCAAAATTCAGACTTTGTAAGTTCAGAATTTACTGGGAGGACAATCAGGTATCAATTATTAGTGCTGCGATTGATAAATAAGTTTATGGCCTGGGTGATTAAAGTGATTAGGGAATCAAGGTTAAACTTACCACAGGGAGCATGAAGGGATGCATGTGAATGTGCCCCAGCAGTAAACATGATGGTGTTTCATATCATAGAAAACAATACATGTAGGTTCAGTGGAAGAATCATCAGTGGCCAAATTAAACCTAGGGACTTCTTTCGGGCACTTCTTAAGGTAAGAGAGTAGTCAGAATTCATTGCATCTAAGAATTCTATTTATGTTTCTTCTGCTTAACCACAACATAATTTCATTTAGTTTTGACTTTTTTCCTGAGGGTCTAGGTTTACTTATGTGTTCTAGACAAAAATACAGACTTTCTTTTCAGTTTTGATGAATGATTGACATCCTGGCAGTTGCTCAAGACCCAGGGCGTTCCTGGTCAGTCTGCAAGGAATGGTGGCCCCTTCTTGGTCTCAGGTACAGAATTTCCTTATTTTAGAAAGTTATGTATCCTTATTTTACCTACTTTCTTTCAGTCTTTAGGCATGGCAACGTTTAACACTCAATTGCTTGTTTAACAAATAGTGATATATCTGACAATTTCTAAAGCTCAGGGCATTCCACTGACAATGAGAAATTTCTGCAGAAGGTACCAGTTTTAGGGTTTTATTTCCATTCATAGAGAAAGATAAATGATATGAAAAAAATTGATTGGTTTTGGTCTTTCTTCTAAAATAATTCCTTCCTTACATTGCAAAATTATTCCTACAACAGAAATAAATTACTTTATATGTTCACGGTATTCATGTATTACACCTAGAGTGTCCTTTTGGGGGCCTCCATTCATGAAAAAATTTCTGAGTTCCTCTTTAAACTTCTCCCCTGACCCTGAAACTATTTCAATCACTTCCATTGCTTCTAGAATGCTTTGCTTCAGGCTGTAGCAAAATTATTTTCCTAAAACTGGTAGGCTTAGCTACAGTTAATATGGTATATGTTGATAGAGCATCTGATGAGTAAGTTCCAGTTCTAAAAGTCTACTAGTCACCGAAATACTTAGAATAAAAAATGGGGATTGATTTTGTATGTGCCATTAAAGAGTAGCTTTTTTCGGTCAGCATTTTCCCAGCTGTGTTGTTCTTCTGTGTCAATCCTCAATATATTTTAGAGGTAGGAAATTCTACTGCTTGTGCAACTAGGGATAGCACAGCATGTAATAACACCACCATGTGAGTAGTTATTAATATCTATTAGAACACCTTTCTTGTAAAGAGCTCTGGCTGTTTTTGTTTTGTTTTGTTTTGTTTTGTTTTCCAAAAATGGAGGTCAAATTGTCCCTTTCTGGATGCGAAAAAGCTAGGGAGAGGATTCTCTCAGACAGACATAGCCTGCCTGACAACTAAGAGGTGAGTGGACATCGCAGCTCACAGGACGCACGCATGCTCTGAGGCCCAGCCCAGCCGAGCCATAGCGAGCTGCTGGTCAGTCTTGGGAGGAAGTCCAGGGCAGTAAGTCTATACCAAACACCACTAATTCAGTTATTCTTTTTTTCAACATAAGGACCCCTAAGAATATTTCTGTCTCCCTTCTGCACTTTTCACTGGCTTGCATCCCTGGGAAATCAGCCACATTTTCTGCTTGTGTCTTCAGAGCATTCTTAGGAGTTAAGAAGGGAAAGAAATGAAATTTTCCTGCCAAGATGAGAATGGAAGCACAGAGGGGATAAAGATATTTTCCGTGACCACATGGGCAACAAACGATGGTTAACTTACACTTTCAATATGATTCAGTCTACTCTTCTATCTAGCTCTCAGTGATGTCTCTCTCAGCAAACACTTTTATATAGTTTCAAAATGATCTATTTGTCTCTGTGGATCAGACTGGACAGCCATTTGGGTAAAGCAACTGAAACACCAGGCTAAGCCTGGTTTTGTGAAACGTAACTTTTATCCTTTTATTTTTCCAGGGATATGGATGGGGTGGTGGGGGGGAGGTGAGTAGTTATCCTTTTGGATTTATTTGGATGATGTGGAACCAAACAAGTTACCGTTGGGAGGGTTTCCAGAGCCATTCAGTGGCATTTCCTTCCAGCCATTGTCACACAACAGCATCTATAAGGATTTTAGAGGAGATTATCTGGATCTAGGTTGAAATGATCAAGGTAAAAATGTTATTGTGCAGTCTGGGATCCAAATAAATAAATCCAAACAAAACAAACAAAAACTCTGAATTATATCGTCTTCTGCAAAGGTAGCTAAATTTAAGGGAGACCTGTCCACCAAGTTCATCTCTCTTATTTGCAAAGTCAATTGGAGCCTAAAGGCAAGACACCTTTGTTAGTTGACCCATTTCATTACTAATGTTGGACTTTCTTTTCACTCATCAAGCCTGACAAAATGCTGCAACCCGACATCCAGCAGGCAGTTTTCACTACTGTACTAACTACTCCATCTGTTATGAAGGTCACAGTAATGTATCTTGTTTTAAATTTTTCTATGGAGTGATTTATTGTCTTGGCTATAAATTTGTAAAGAAATAAAATGCTTTTTCTTCATCGTCTCCTGGGGTGACAGCTTTATTCACAGCTCATGGGAGGTGCATGTTTCAAACCTGTTACCTTGGTGGGTGTGGATCGCTATGTGGGTGCCATGGTGGCCTCAGGCCTTCCATACACCTGTCCCACTAACAGAGAGAGATGGACTCTGGTTATCTTTTGTGATCATCAGGATGAAGGGTATTCATTGAAAAGTTTGAGAAAAATTATACAGGTTTCTAGACAAGTCCATGAAGTTTATCAAGAAACTCATAGTCAAGGTCAAATAGCCTAGAATAGGCTTCTATTTTGGCCACCATGTTGAAGTCTCTTTGGCTATTTCACAAGTTGCTTTTCCTGTGATTCTAAGGATGGGAGGCAGTGGTACTCCCTGTAGCAACCAGGATAGCTGTTAGCATCCTCATTGTGACCTGGGCCTAGAATAGTGCACAATTCCGTGATCTGTGTCTCTTTCTTCATATTTAACTCAGCACTGATATCTCTAGAACAGGAGGAAATAAAGAAGGCCATGGCCAGCTGCTGCCCACAATATAAATGTCCGTATTTGAACATAGAAAGGCACAGCCTTCAGGTAGCTTTTGCATTCCTGTTTGAGTTAAAGACTCTAAAACTCTACCTATTGAAGAATAAACAAATGTTTTAGACATACTTTCAGCTCTTTATTAATGTCTGTATAGATTTCTACCACCCAACGCAAGCAATTTGAAAAAGCATTAACTAGAGAGATTTTTTTTTTGGTTTCATTTTGTTCTGAGGAAATGCCTTTGGGTTAGTATTTAGTCAATTAATTTTTTTTTCCATTTTCTACATTTATGTTACTAAGAAATGAGAATCCTTCCTCAGACAGTAATGACTTTATAAGAATATTTATGTCTTGAAAAGAAACAACTGTGCTTAAAATTAACTTTAGGAAATGGCACCAACTGCCGTTTACTACTGATGCACATGGTTTTGTGTATTCTCTCTGTCCTTGCAATTGGATATAGCAAAGACCAGCTTGCAAACTGTTCATGAGGGTCTATGAAATACACACTACTATTTTTATATAAATAGGTATTCTAATTTGATAGATTTTCTATGCAAAGCTTATACTCTCAGTGCAATGATAATGCCACCGAGGGAACCCAAGTTTTTTAATAAAAGTTTATAAATGTTACAACTCTGTGTGGAGTCATGATAAAGAAAAAAAAAGTCTAATATGGAAAAAACTAATCATTCTTACTATTTTTCATATGCAAGATATTATCCTTTGACCTGATAATATCTTTCTTCCTCCTACTTTTTTTTTTTTTTTTTGAGAGCTTTTTGCTACAGGGTGTGTGTGCTCACCAGACAGACAGAGAGAGACAGAGAGACAGAAAGCGAGAAATCACCTCCCAGGGGAGATGGCCACACCACAATCCCTTCTCCTCCATTCTCCTCTCGGGATCTTGGGCACGCACGGACATGTGCCTGGTGTGAGTTTTAAGCCACCAGGTCCGGGACGCGAACCACAGTCAACTACGTGGGAGTCCAGCGACATAGCCATTTCACTAACTGCTGGTCCCCCTCCTACTTTTTCCTAAAAGATCACTTTCATCTCTACTTCCTGGTCTGTTTTTCTAAATCTCTTCTCAGTTCCTTCTTTAGGTCTTTTCCTCTTAACTATTCTTACCTCCTTCTTGGTTCTCCCAACACAACGCAAAGCAGATATTAACAGCTTCTCAAGGTCTGTGGTCCCCTGAGAACAGACCTGGGATATGTTTGGTCTTGAAATTGGATTGAATTGAATTGGCAGAACAAACAGGGAACAAAGTGATTGCTTTCAATTCATCTGCGTGCCGCCTGCCTGCTGTAATGGCATTAGAGGGACGGCATGGCCTCTTCGTCTGAGTACTGTGAACATCAGTCTCAATTCCTGGAATTCCTGGAACCCAAGGACACTGCTGTCTACTGAACTGAGCATGTTTGTAGCCATTTTCAGCCTTCCTCCCAGCACCGCAGGTGGCCACAGGCATCCATCTGCTTTTTTATTTGAAGTAATATCAAAAAGCCTTTTAACCTGATGACATTGGCCTTGTGTGATTGGTAAGACAGCCACTAAGACAGCCACCACTGTTTAGTGAACACACTGCAGATAACACATTTGGTACCTCCTTCTAGTGCCACAGAGTTCTCTGTAACAGTATTCAGTGACTCTGGTATACTTTTGTTTCACTGTGTCTTCTTTAGAGAGAGATCTATGTGCAGGACCAGCAGTTAGCGTAATGACTGTGTCGCTGGACTCCCATGTAGTTGACCGTGGTTCGCATCCCAGACCTGGTGGCTTAAAACTCACTCCGGGCGTGTGTGCGTGCATGCCCAAGCCGGGCGCGTGTGCGTGCGTGCCCAAGATCCCGGGAGGAGAATGGAGGAGAAGGGATTGCAGCGTGGTCAATCCCCCTGGGGGGTGATTTCTTGCTCTCTGTCTCTCTCTGTCTCTCTCAGTCTGGCGAGTGCATGCACCCTATAGCAAAAACCTCTTAAAAAAAAAAAAGAAAGAAAGAAAGAGATCTATGTGCTCATCCTGCACCAGTGTAGGCATTTAAAGATAAAGCTGTAGTTTATCGATTCCAGGTGCAGCTTATCAATTCTAGCTACAGCTAAGCTGGAAACGGGGGCTGTCTGTTGTGCAAGGAGGCCAATGAGCTTAAGGGGAGAGCTGGAGGCTCCGACCAGCAGTTAGTGTAATGGCTATGTTGCTGGACTCCCATGTAGTCGACCACAGTTTGAGTCCCGGACTCAGCGGCTTAAACTCACGCCAGGCGCGTGTGTGTGCGTGCCCAAGATCCCGAATGGAGAATGGAGGAGAAGAGATTGTGGCATGGCCATCCCCCCTGGGGGTGATTTCTCGTTTTCTATCTCTCTGTCTCTCCCTGTCTGGTGAGCACACGTGCCCTATAGCAAGCTCTCCAAAAAAAAAAAAAAAAAAGAAAAGAAAAGAATGTTATGTGGAGAGACCAGCAGTTAGCTTAATGGCTATGTCGCTGGACTCCCATGTATTCGACTGCGATTTGAGTCCCGGACCCAGTGGCTTAAACTCACACCGGGTGCATGTGTGTACATGCCCAAGATCCTGAGAGGGGAATGGAGGAGAAGGGATTGCGGCATGGCCATCGCCCCTGGGAGGAGATTTCTCGCTTTCTGTTTCTCTCTGTCTGGCCAGCGCATGTGCCCTATGTCAAAAAACTCTCCAAAAAAAGAAAAAAAAATGTTATGTGGAAAGGTCAAAACTGAGATGCCCTTACTTAATCTATTAGTATTCTTTACTAAGAATGCACCTCTTCTGTGCAATGTTATTTATGAATGAAATGGAATTAATAATTTTATGGGCCAGCAGGTGGCATGGTGGTTAAAGTGTTGGATCACACATGGCTGACTATGTGGTTTGAACACTGGGCCCTGCAGCTTGGAAAACACACAGGGCATATGTGGGTGTGTTTTGCAAGGTTCTTTTCTCCTCTAAGAAGAGGACATTGGGAAGGCTTGCTTATTCCTTAAGCCTGTTTCTGGGGTAAATATCTGATTGGGGTGGTGGCTCTGTTCAACCACCTCAGAGATAACTACTTTGCAGGGTCCCCCCCACCCCCTGCCACATAGTTACCTATTTTCTTAAGTTATACCTGTTTACTTGGAATAATTGGTGATTTTTAAACCAAGGGAAATTACACTGGAATTGAGGGATGCATATACTTTTTCTTTCCCTTTTTTTTCCATAAAAGGAAGTATTTTAATCTCCTTTTACATCTTTCTCCCACCAGCAGCTCCCACCCTACAATACATACATATCTATACAATTTAGTCTAAGAAGCTCAAAAAAATCTTGTTTTCTTTTCTGAGAGATTTCCATTTTATTTTCTAAAACTTATCTTCTTATTCTGACACGTGGGAAAAATACTTTTTTATTTAATAAGCTAAAACTGAGCTCAGATGCTTTAAGATCATTCTGAGTTGTGCATGTTTTAGTTCATTCACACCCAGTGTATTTAGTTTCTCTTATTCTTTTGCTTTTTTGTTTTGTTTTGTTTTGCTATAGGTATGTGCACCTGCCAGAGACAGACAGAGGCAAAGGCAGAAGGAAAGTGAGAAATGATCACACCTCAATCCCTTCTCCATCCTCCTCTAGAGACTTTAGGCACACACGCTGTATTGCAAATGGAGTCAGGATGGTTTAGTCTGCTACAGCCAAACAACTTACGTTACTCGTTGCAGTGTGCTTGCAAGCTTGTTATGTAATTACAACTGCTGTTTTACACCAGTGTATGTAACACACATGTGCATGTGCAACGGTTTGATTTTGACAATGAGCCATTATTGGCTGCAGGCCCTTTAAGAGAAAGGAGCATTGGTCAGCTAGCACTGTCTAGCTAGCGAGCCCTGCTCAGTGCAGTTCAGCTCCATGCTGTGAGCTCTAAGAGGGAGGAAGTGCTTCCCAGTGTTCTCCACGCACATTACAAGCTCCAAAAGCAAGTGCTTGCTCGCACTGCTATGGGCTTCGCAAGCCCATGCCACCCTAAGCTCAACAATAAACGTGATAGCAATGGCTCGTGTCTTCTAACTTCCTGCTTCTCTGACCCACCCTTCAGAGGAGAAAAGAACCTTGCAAAACACACCCACATATGCCCTGTGTGTTTTCCAAGCTGCAGGGCCCAGGGTTCAAACCACATAGTCAGCCATGTGTGATCCAGCACTTTAACCACCATGCCACCTGCTGGCCCATAAAATTATTAATTCCATTTCATTCATAAATAACGTTGCACAGAAGAGGTTGAGGACCTCTTTGCATGAAGTCTTTCTCATGTATTTCATTTTCTTCTATCTAAAACTTGATCTGATTCATATTCAAGCTTCAAGTTTGGTGCAGGCAGAGGACATACCATAATGGCTTCCTTTCCACGCAGTTCAGTCTGGAAAAGATGGCTGCTCTACAAACAGTTCAGTCTGGCAAAGATTGGTGCTGTACTAACCACTGTGTTTCAGAACTGAATCCAGTCCCGGCTGCCGCAGAGATACTCACCCTTGCCTGAGCACAGTATGCCATCTGCTGACTCACACAGGCTCTTGCTTTGTTCTTCCGTCATGTTACACTTCCGCGGGTGTTGGCAGAGCTTTCCAAACCATCCTCTCTCACAAACACAGCGACCACAGGAACACGTGCCATGGCCTGGGAAGCAACCACAGTTGGGGGTGAGAGAAGGAGGTGGATAAATAACCCACAGAATCAGTCTTAAAAATATATATATTTAAAGCATAGGACCTGAGTTCTTATCGTATGCTTTCTCTTGATGTGTCATCACTTTGGCATGTAAATTGCTTAAAAGACTTCACAACACGGTTCTAGCGTAACATAATAAATTTGAATGTAGTAGAGGAAGTGGACAGGAGAGAAAGAAATTTGCAATCATTTAAAATGGAATTATGCTATCCTTTCTCAATACAAAAAATTTTGCTCATTTGCATTGTTATCAGCACGGAGTCTTAGTGTTGTTCTTCATCGTGCACACCGTGACATCCAGCCCCATTTGCAAAGCTAGTCACATCACCACTGCTTGCAGCATGTATTGATTGCTTTCCTATTGCTTACCAGTAAAAACAAAAAGGTAACGTCACGTGAATGACTTTGGGATTATATTGGTTTACCCATATACCTCCCTATTGACTCATAAGAACAGATACAAATGTAAGTAGTGATTTCTCTATTACTGCATAGAAACACAGTATGAGCATAGTTTCACATGTAGTATTTCGCCACCGCCCCCCCCTTTTTTTTCTTTTTCTTTTTTTAAGAGAGATTTTTGCTACAGGGTGGTGGATGTGCTCACGAAGAGACAGACAGAAAGTGAGAAACCATTTACAATCCCTTCTCCTTGGGAACTTGGGCATGCACACACACACGCCAGGCATGAGTTTTAAGCCACCAGCTCTGGGATTTGAGCTGCGGTCAACTATGTGGGTAACCATTATGGCATGTGCTGGTCCCTCCCCTTTTTATTTCTGACTCCTGGCTTTTGAGATGTGTATGTTTTGGAGTATGTGCAACATTGTTTGTAACAGTGACCAGCACTGTTTAATTACCTATCACCTATGCTCCATCAGATTGCATTGTCTTCCATTTTAATTTGTTACCACTCAGCACTTTATTTTTCTTCTTAATATGTGCACTGCCTTTTGGTCAGACCTCATTGTATCAGCTATTTGCCTGGCAAAGATTATTGAGTATCTACTATAAACAGAACAATCTGGTAGACTGAGTTCTGGGAGACTAAAAGAGTTATTAACATGCTAAAGAAAGAGAATACTGTTAACTGGGGGAGTGAAGAAAGGGCTCAGTGATACCCAAGGAATGAGAAGGAGACAGTCTCTGTTCTAGGAACAGAGCCAAGAAAATCTCGGAAAAGGTATATGGGATAAGAAAGCTTGGCATGATATAAGCAAAGAAAGGAAGCTAATGTGTCTGAAAAATAATGAGTAAAAACAGTAGAATAAATAATAGAGGTGGGGAGACATTCAGGAATGAAAACTTATAAACTGTTTATTCCTGGTAAGGGATTTTAAAATATTTTGAGAAGTTATTCTAGGAAATGACAGTAGAACATTAAGCAAGAGATGTGATTTACAATTTGCAAATTTATTTTGGCAGCTGAGCGGGATAGATTGAGGTGTGTTGGGATAGAACGAGTATGGCGGGGAAGTGAGGGAGCCAGTGTGATTGTCCAAGTGAGGAATGAGAGGGGCAGAAAAGAAGCCTGCAGCAGTAGGAATGCAGTGATCTGGATGGAGATCCATTGTGGAGCAGAGCCTATGCCTATGAGACACACAGTTGGGTGTGGCAGGTGAGGGAAAGAAACTAGTTTTCTCATTAGAAAAATAGTGTGGATAATGATGTTATTTATTAGATATAAAAACTTCAGGAGGAAGAAGTTGAGGACAGAACATCAGCTCTGTTTGTTCTATATAATTTTTGTTTTTGTTTTGGGGAGAGGGTACATACACTCAACAGAGAGAGACAGAGAGAGGAGGAGAGAGAGAAAGCACCCCCCTGCCCCACATACAATGGGATATGGTCATGTTGCCATTCCTTCTCTAGTTCTCCATTTTGCAGAGATTTGGAGGGCATGCACATGTGTACTCTGTGTGTTTCTCAAACCACATGGACCAAGACTCAAACTGTATAGTTGATTGGCCAGGTGGGATCGGGTTCTTTTAACCAGTAGGCTGTGTAGCCGGACCATCATCAGCTGTTTTGAACCTCTTGTGTTTGAGATACTCTTATGACAACCTAATAGCAAGAAAAATAAGCAGATGGACACAAGCCTGGAGCTCAGAAGACAGCCTAGGGTATGCTCTAGGCATACACCTATTAGAACTTACAAGAGTAATATTTAAAGATTTAGAAGTGAATGAGTCTATGCAGGAAAAGATAAGTCTTGGAAAAGTCAAATATTTATGGTGAGGGTAGAAAAAAGGAAATCAAACAAGTAGGAAAATCCAGTAAGGAAGGAAGAAAATAAGTTTGTATTATCTCATAAGATGACCAAAGAAAATGTCCCATAAAGGAGACCTATGGAGTGGAATATTCCTGAAATCTTAATTAAAACACAAGACCATAGAAGTCGTTTTGGTCAGCTTTCCCCTGACCGTTTCTATTATGTTGGCCCTCAGGACTATGAGTGGCATCCCCAGGGGAAATTATACATATAATGTCTCTGCTTGGTGGTCAACTTGGCCGTGACTAAGTCATCTTCATATAATAGGCACATGATAGATCATCACAGAATGAGCCTGAAGAGAGAACATGCTTAGTGAACTATTTTAGGTGCACTTCCAGTTTTTCAAACAGATGAGTGATTTTCCACATGGAGAACGCCATTCATTCCCTCCAGGTACTTACCCCTGCAGCTGGCGCCACCATCGGCAATTTTTCTTCTCATTCCCTTTACTTCCTCCAGCAAAATGTTCACTAGGAATGCTCTGGACTTGACTCTCCAGTACAATATAGCAGTCACTAGCCACATTTGATTACTTAAATGTATTAAAGTTAAGTACAATTTAAGTTGGTTGTACATCTGGTCTCAGGAATGACATGTGACCAGTGGCTATGTGTTAAACAGTACAGATATAGAAAATCTCCATGATGTTTGGATGATCTTTGGGGCAGTTCTGCTCTAAAAAATAACCTTTTCCAATGAAGTTCATTGACTGTGAAATATATTCCCATAAAACACTGCAATGCCAGTTCTCCATTAGGAAACTGACCTATGAATGGATGCTAGTTAGATCAGATACCACACACTGCCTTGTGCCTCCTTTATTATTTTTTTTTTAAGGATTGTTTATTTAATATTTTAGTCTTTTTTTTTTTTTAAAAATTTGCTACAGGGCACATGGGCTCTCTAGAGAAAGAGAAAGAAATAGAGAAGAAAAGCAAGAAAGCAAGTCTCCAGGTCTGGGACTCAAACCACAATTGGCCATGTGGGAGTCCAGCCACCATGAAGACTGCTGATCCCAACTTTCTGCTTTCTAACATTAAGAGAACTCTCATTAGTTTTTTTCTTCCAGGGAACTGAAAATATACCCGTCTTGAAAATACTTGATTACCCAGATTTTTTTTTTTTTTTTTTTTTTTTGCACTAATAAAACAGAGTGCTAATAAATGATAAAATAAGAGAAAATCTGCTGGCCGAGGTTTCCAGACAGGCATTGCTTCCAAAATGAAATGGAACAAACTCAACCAGCATGTGTCTTTTGTCCTTTATTGTTTCCCTTTCCACTTCTCCTTGCCTGGGAGGGGAAGCATTTGGAGGTTGTCTCTGAGAATGATGATAGCAGTCACATGGAAGGGAGGACAGCGGAGACAGGATGGGTCCTGGGACATTGATGGTATTCAGGCACTATCCTCCTCACCCATCCCCAGAGTGACAATCTGCAGACTTAATATCTGTGTCAGTCACCTTATGCCAAACAAAGTCCTATCTGACACAATTTTCTGGAAGAGGTTTGTTATGTTACGATTTACTTTGGACACAACCCCCTACAGACTGTCCAAGGGGACTTCAAAAAGCTTATTATGAGAAAGTTGAATGAAAGTCCAAGTTCATTTTGAAGCAAAACTATTTTAAAATTCATGCACAGGTGTTTCACACTACACATTTTCAATAAAATTTTTGAAGACTTGCCTAGTATTGTGCATCTAAGAAAAACCTGGCCTGAGTGAGAGGTCTTTCTTCCTCAATACAATAAGTCTAGCAGTGTCTGGGAAGCACTGATTTCATATTCTCAGGCGACACAATTTCCTTCAAATTGCAGGTATGAACTAAAGAACTCCCTGAAGAAATGTGAACTGATTGTGTAATTAAGAGGTGGCTCTTCATTATCCCTTCTTGTTTCTTAAATTGGACTCATGGGCAGCTATTCCAAGAGCACAGAGGAAAAAAGAAAAGCAATAAGCAGTCTATTTCTTAATCTCACCCTGGGTCTATAGAGTGCAGAAGGGAAGTTTCTGATTAAGCTTATATTCTGTTAAAACAATTATATCTGAGCCAGCATGTGAACATGTTTTCTTTATGGAATCTTAAAATTATATACTACTAAAAATGGATAGACTTTAGGAATTTTCACTCTGAACAAAGCATTTTTTATCAATAGTGACTTATCTGATAGAAATCCACACATTTTTATGTCACATAATCTTTTACCATGAATAAAGATTTTTGAGAGGGCCCGCATATGGCCTATGATGATTAATATGACTCACAAATAAGTGAATTAAATGAAGTATGGTTTTTCTTCATGCTGATTTATTTTGGCTATTCATCTTCATAACTTGTTTTTAAGTTGTAATTTTGGTAGAGTCAAAACTGAACTGTTTAAAATTAAGAAATTAATTATGTCCACCTTTAGGTACCATTGCTATTTATCCCAGCCCACTAGAATTGGTTTAATCACCTGTAGTTTTACTGTTACAAAGGTGGATAAATAACACTTTGTTCTTTGTTCTCGTATGTCTCCTGATTAGTTATGTTTGTGGATGTCTTTGGTTTTACTTCCTTACGAATTTGCTAAACTGCTCAGACAATGCTATTGTTGGGTCAGAGATGGCATATGGGTCTGTGGACACACATTGGATGTGCAAGTTTTAGTCCATCCCTCCAGGTGGAAGGCCAC